GACACCTAGATACAGGAAACTACGGAGCGGAACATCTGGACACCCTGGACTTCCACGTCTGACACCTAGATATAACAAACTACGAAGCGGAACACCTGGACACCCTGGACTTCCACGCGTGACACCTAGATACAGGAAACTACGGAGCGGAACACCTGGACACCCTGGACTTTCACATCCGACACCTAGATACAGGAAACTACGGAGAGGAATATCTGGAAATCCTATATCTCTAAAAATTGTCACCTAAAATACGAGGAACTATGTCAAAGCACACACATACGTACATGAATACACTCGCGCTCCACATGAAAGTTTTAATAATTCTATACTATTGTGAAAGCAGCCTTATATTAACTGGAAATTGGGTGTGAACGGTAACTTCACGTACAAAGTGCATTTGATTGTGTTGGGTATTCCTAAATTACCAACACCATCCAGAGTACAAATAAATAGGTAAAGAAGGCAACGACTAGGACAACGACGAGGACAACGACGGCACTGAAATAAAATCATCTCGCTCGCTATCTCAATACGCCCTGATCTCGTACACTAATCGTATTGAACGTGGTGTCAATCAATTCAGAACCCTCAATTCCTATAGTGAATGTATCAATAACTTTTTCTCATGTATAGCGATTAATAAGATATTTCGCTCCAAACACAGGTATAAGAGTTGACTCAAATAAAGAGTTTCTGCGAGCTGTGCGAGATTCAACCGAGTCTCTTGATACTGAAATTTCCACGCTCGAACCTGTCATCTTCATGGGCGAGGGCCGTCCTCATCGGCGGTACTCAACATTCGCCGCTTTCCTTCTCGTGGTATCAGTAGCCGGTCAGTCCGTCGGTCCAAAAGTCCAAAATCCAATAGCTGGGTCGTATACTGCCACTATCCACGTAAAATCCAAAAACTGTTCGAAAGAGACAAAGCGATAAACACAAGGGAAAGCCGTGTTCAAAATCTAAAAAAACAAAATCCAAAAACGCTATAAAATTGCACACACTCCTCTCGCGGTCGAAACCAAAGAGTCTCCCCTTGTGCGAAAAAACTCCGGAAAGCCCCGAGGATTTCCGATCTTACCCGTAGTCCTAGGAGATCCCCTGCGGGCCTCGGCGATCGCCGTCTCCTGCCCCCGTACTCCGCCCGCAAGGCCAGCATTTGGACCCCTAGCGACGCTGTTGATTTCCCGCTTTGCCGGTCTCGCCGAGTTTGCCTAGTCGCGTAATATGACTTGGTCGGTTCGGCTGCCTTTGTCCATCCTCGGCGGCGTTCGGACCTGACAGCCCCTCGATGATTATCCTTGCGGCGCCCCCCACCTGGCAGTCTTCGGACGGCCCCGATTTTTCCCATGGACTATCCATCCCAGGGCTCGGCGCGGCCGGTTCTACTCCTCGGTTTCCTCTTACCACAATCCTTGGTCCTCGTAGGCATTCTATTGCCAGCTCTCCGTCTCCCTATGATTTTTATGGAACGGACCGTCCTGCAGACACCTTATATGTATTGTAATGTAATTCTTTTCCTTGACCCGACACCGATAGCAAAACATACGAGAACGAACGATCTTCGTGAACCAACCTACGTTACCTTCGGCCGTCCACCCGTCGTTCGTGCATCCGCAAGCCAGACGGGCGCCAGCCAATTCTTGTTTCACCGGGAACTGACGAGCTGGTATAAACTGGGAGTTGGGGTGGAACAGGTCCAACTCCACCAAGAACGAGAGCTCTGATGGAACCTATCAGACGAGGCGATAGCTTAACGGATCCTGTCGATTTTTGGGGACGCGTAAAATCGAGAAATGCAACCGTCGGTGCTGATCTTTGGGGTCGCGTAAAATCAGCAAACGCAACTGGATATACGAACGGGAGCGGACGGTTACGGAAATGCACAGCCGCTCAGGCTGCTAGGTTTGAGATAGAGAGGGACGGAGTAAGAGCCGGCAAATAGTGCGAGAGACAGAGAGTGACAAACCGAGAACGTATCAGAACGAATCTTAACTATCTATCGAGATCCCTTCACCAATTAATAAATTGGGAGTCCTCACCGGAGCTGGTGCAGCTAATCTGTGGAGGCCGAGAACTGTATCCAAAGGACACTCTGGGGAGCACTGCACTAAGGCACAGCACTACACCTCCGGAACACTCACAGGAATTCATAGAATTGCCTGGATATCGCGAGAGGAACGCGAGAACTGTACGAATCGAGAACTTGCTATATCGTAGCGAAACACGGCAAGAAAAACTATCAACAGATAGCACGGGAGCACGAGCCAGCCCGTGACACCTCAGTCGGTGCCCCGAGACAGACTGCTTTGACAATAGCCAAATCCGAGAACTAATCATTCTGATTGGTCGAGAGCCTTATAATCGATAACTCTTCTATCTCCTTCAAGTCGTCCCTTTAAACCAAATCGAGAGCGTTCCTTAACGAATCGGTACGTAACTTCTGGAGATCCTCCACGGCCGCTTCCCCAGGGCATCGGGCGACAGCTGGGCACCACATTCTTAACTCGGGCAGTAGGTTCCTCTCCTGCCCTTAACCGTATCAAATCTACCTCCGCCCGCTCTACAGCCCTTTGCCCATCTCCAGCGTGGCGCCGGTATCTCACCCGGGCAACTCGGTACGTCGAGACTATCTCCCCACGGCAGATTCGAGCACCTCGACCTCAACTAAACAATAACGAAATCTTACGAGAGCCTTGACATAACTGTACGAATCAACCCGAGAGCGTAGTTTCTGAGCAGGGTGGCGACCCGAAGGGAACCAGAAATCGAGAACGTTATCTGTATCGGTAACCGAAGCCGCCTTGGGATCGTGATTCGAAAAATCACATCACAGTATTAACATCTACATGTATGTCCAGATTAGGTACTCCGATGCTGTTGGGTGGCCTCTTACGATACTTCAAGCCAGAAATTAAGAAAAACTATACAACTGCGATTTTATACGCTACTGGCATTTCATTAGCAACTGCTATAAATGTAATCTCGTTAAACCAAGCTATATATGGAGCATTTCACGTTGGTGGAAAAATCAGGGTTGCAGTTTGTTCCTTAGTTTACAGAAAGGTATATACATGTAAATTAGTAAATATTTAAAAAAGATGTATTTTGATATAGTAATAGTAAGATATAATAATTTTAATGTTTATTGGTCTGCAGGCTTTACGCTTAAGCAAGACAGCTTTGGGTGAAACAGCTCCAGGAAAAATAGTCAATTTAGTCGCCAATGATGTGAACAGATTCGATCTTGTCTCCATCTTTATACACCACATGTGGTCAGCTCCACTGTCTGCCTTGATCATAGCATATTTTCTATATACTGAGGCAGGGTACGCGGGGCTCATGGGTATAGCTGCTGTCTTTGTAGTGGTACCTATACAATGTAAGTAAAAATGAAATAATTGTCTTTTAGTAACTCTAAATTAATACATACAGCAATATCATTACTTTTTTAATGAACAATAAAATGAGTTCACATGTTTGAAAGATAGTAGTCGAAATCATCAATACAAATGTTTTAACCCTTTGAAGCATACTGTTTTTCTAATGATTAAATTTTTGTGAGATTTGGTATACACGAGTTTTTGGGGCCGCTGATTACGAATCCGTTATCAGATTTCCAAAATTGAAAATGGCGTATTCAAGATGGCGGCCGCCGAAATGAAAAACGGCGATAATATTGGTGAAACTATAAATTTGGGTGGTTTTCGGGGTCACTGATTACGGATGTAAAATTAAAATTTGATCATTTGAAAATTTCCTCATTCTTGGCACTATCCAGAGCTAACCAGAGTTCTAGCTCCACTTTTTTTTTTTTATTATGAAAAGTATGGAATGCATACCACAGATTTGTAATCAGTGGCGCCGAGAATGCTCAGATATACATTTTCATAAGATTTACATCGTTTTTCGATTTTAAGTCCGCCATAACGGATCCGCCATTAAGAATTTTTGAATTTTTTAGTGCAGATTCGTAGTCACCTACCACAAAGAATCTCGAGTACCAAGTTTTATCTTCATCGAGTTAGTTTTTGCATTTTGCATCCGCCAAAAACCTCTAAGGACAAAGTGTCGAGTAAATATTCATAATCGTGTCGTAGAAAACACATTTTTTGTGAAAAAAACTCATTTCCACGATTTGTTTATTTATAACTTTATGTTAATCAAGAATAAAAACTGGTTACCATTTCTTTTTGTCTCGTTGATGTATTGGGGACCTTGGAGACCAAAACTCGCATTTTCTATAGTCGAAGAATAATTTTCAAAAACTAAAAACGATGGGGAAAAACGTAGATCGAAAATCGACCCACCATGCTTCAAAGGATTAACACCTAGAATACAAACAATACTTTCGTGAACATCCACAATCAATAATATATTTTCGCCGTGTTCTAGACATTCAAGAGTGGCATTGTAAATATAATATTTTATCCTTTACGGAACAATAGTACATTATGCAACAAGGGAGTAAAGTCGTTGATTATTCCCGCGGGTGAGAGTTTACTGCCTGAGCGAAGCGAGGGCAGTAAATCACCCAAGGGAATAACCGACTTTACTCTCGTGTTACATATAGTGCTTTATTCACGACTGAGCTATAATAGCCACTTTATTTCCTGAAAAGTGGAACCAAGTCAGCCACCGTCTATATGATGGAAATATATTTTTTTCCAAATATTCAAAAAATTCAAAATTTTAAAATTTTTCACCTTTTCAAAACTTTCAAAAATTTTCAAAATTTGCAAAATTAAAAAAAAATTCAAAATTTTGCGGGAATAAAGTTCATTATTCCCGCAAAATGCGGGAATAAAGTAAATTTGCGGGAAAACCAAATATGCGGGAATAAAATGCTACTTTAGTCCTGCTTTTTAGGGAATAAAGTGGCTATTATAGCTCAGTCGTGAATAAAGTATTTTTTTAAACACGAATTTCATTTTACAAAGAAGAAATAATATTTAATTGGAATGTTTTAGTTTGTTGTAATGTATAAAGTTTAACATAACTACGCAAAATATGCGTGCCAGGTTAGGGAGTCCTCTATATTCTCCACCCCATTCGAACTACCATGTCTATTAATTATTTACAATTAGCACATTAAAGGCGGGAGTCGTATTAGTACCTAGCATACTTTCGTCAAGATCTCCCGCCTTTAATGTGTTAGTATAGTATTAGTGAAATATAGAAATCCTTTAAAAAATTTGAGTTTGTGTATTTAAAATAACGGAATCTGTTTGGGAATTTTTTACCAGTGTGTATGTCTGAAAAGTAACTTTCGTAGTGGTTGGCGCAATAGCCACCGGTTTCAAATCTTAGTTTCACGCGTGAAAAGGGTCAAATTAATATAGTACCAACAGGTACACCGATAGGCTCGATTTTTAAATATTTTTTAATATTTAAAAAAATTTGAGTTGTAAATACCACGCGCGGTACGTCATCCGCACAAATAGCTGATACGAATGGCGACCGGCATACTGCAGTAGCAGTTGAAAAAAAGATCTGAGTTTCGTCGAATTTCACCTTAAGGGCTACGACACTTGCGATACTTTTCAGATGTGTAGGTATACACTGAAGACTTTCATATATTAAAATCTATCAGTTTATTATTGCTTTCTTATGGATCATCAGTATAAATTTTAAACCCACTATGATATATGTGCGTTCTTTGCTTTAATTACTTGGTCTAGTTCTTAACAAATAAGTTTGATATGTGCACAAACTGTTGATAATTGTTATATAATTTTTCAGCATATACAGGAAAGTTATCATCAAAATTTAGACTACAAACTGCGATAAAAACTGATGAAAGAGTACGTTTAATGGATGAAATAATCTCAGGAGTTCAAGTGATAAAGATGTACGCATGGGAAAAACCTTTTTGCGCAATGGTGGAACTTGCACGAAAATTGGAGTTGCGTGTCGTTATCAAAAGCTCATATATTCGTGGTATTTATATGACGTTTAACATTTTCACAACGAGAATGGCTCTTTACTGTACATTGGTGTCAATGTTACTTTTTAAAAATCATTTGTCAGCTGACAATGTTTTCGTCTTCTCATCATATTTTAATATATTGGCTCATACAATGTCAGGAATGTTCGTACGCGGTTTTGCTGAGATTGCAGAATGTTTAGTCGCTGTACGAAGACTCCAATATTTTTTGATGTATGATGAATATCAAGGTGGAAATATAACTAATTTTGCTACCAAATTATACAATTCTAATGGTACCATAAATACTGATTCTAAACAAAGCTTGAATAAAATGCCTAAACCAGAATTGCATTACATCGATGACAATGTGAATGACATTGAAGACAATATAGTTGAAAATCAGAGCAATCGACATATTCCTGAAGAACAGAGGAAAGCAAATGGATTAGCCACGCTCGCGGACGATTTACTGAAAAATACAGCCAGTCTTGTTAATGGTATGTATGAGAATGTGTGACTACGAATAAATAATAATGTTTGGTTATTATATAAAATAAACTATAGGAAAGAATAATTGTGAAAAGGAAGAAAAATCGTGGATGGTTAAGTTGGATAACGTAACTGCTAAATGGGAGTCTGGCCAATCAGAAAATACTTTGGATAACTTAAATTTAAAAGTGGAAGAGGGAAAGCTGTATGTGGTGATTGGCATGGTAGGAGCTGGAAAGAGTTCGTTACTCTCAGCAATACTTGGAGAACTGCCGGTGGAAAAGGGTGATATTAAAGTAAAGGGTAAGATCAGCTTTGCTGGTCAGGAAGCTTGGGTATTTGGTGCTTCTGTTAGACAAAATATACTCTTTGGAGAACCATATGAACGTCAGCGTTATCAGAAGGTTGTTAAAGCCTGCGCACTTCTGAGCGACTTCAAACAGTTTCCGCAAGGCGATCAGACTATCGTAGGCGAGAGAGGTAGCTCCTTATCTGGTGGACAAAAAGCTAGAATCAACTTAGCAAGATCGGTATACAGACAAGCTGATATTTATTTATTGGACGATCCGCTAAGCGCCGTGAGTAATTTTTTTCTTTTTTTTTATATTAAAATTTTTTCCATTGTTCATTGTCTTTGCGGTATCGCTTTCTGAGATGCATCCTTTACCTTTTAATGTTTTATATTCTTTTTATCGACACATATTATTGCGCATTGAATTTCTATATTACATTAAAGATAATTTATATTAGGTGGACACACATGTTGGAAAGCACCTTTTCGAAGAATGTCTACAACGATATTTAACAGGGAAAACCAGAATATTAGCAACGCATCAACTCCAATATATAAAAGGAGTTGATACTATACTTTTGCTGGAACAGGGCAAACTGCAACTGTTTCATAATTATGTGAGTCTTCTAAATGAACATCCTGAATATGCGAGCCTTCTAGCAGCCGATGAGGACGAAGGAGAAGTAGGCGATGATTCTTCGACTGAAAGAAGTGGTATACGCCGACAATTTTCCACATCCAGTAATAGGGTAAGTTAGCTTCGTTAACTTTTTGTAGACATTACGATATATTGACTTTGTATCTTTAGCCTAATTACCATAAAAGCTCTATCGTGGCATTAAAGAGTTTGCGATACTGTATATCATTTATATATGTTGTGACGTGTACCGTTCATCGGCGTCGCCTACAAATAATCCGTGGCTGCTCCTAACGTGCTGAAATCGAAGAAAAGATCCGAAGATCTAATTGTTGAGCGCCAGGTGCGGCTTTCCCGCACCACCATCCCTCACCACGGCCGTTTTCAGGTTTCCCGGCGGCTCAGCCTCAGCGCATTGAAAATGGTAGAGGGGAACATGGGGGCGACGAGAGAGAATTTCGGAGTCAACGGATAGGCGCCCAAAATGATAAAACAGCGAGTAGGATACCGTTCCGTTTATTATCATCAAATAAACGGCGGATTTTACAATACAAATCTCGTCGCGTACAGTGTGTTCTCCAACGGCGGCTCACGACTATTCCGAGTCGTTATTTCTAGCCTGCCCCAGACCTGTCCCTATCTCGGTGTCCCTACCGAATCCGCCAATCCCCTCGCGGCGCGATTCGCGATCCTAACAGGTCTCGTTGGAGTCGAGCCTTTCCTTCCTCGGGAGTGTGCCCTCTGACGTCGGTAGCCACCTGAGGCATCCGTGTGTCCGCACCACTCCCGCTCGGCTATCTTCTCGCGCAAGATATTCTCTATATAAGACCGCCCTCGCGGTACTTACCGAGAACTGGCTGTCCCATCAGTCCCGTACCAAATCCAAATCGTGGTGGCCGTGTCCCTTCCGCCTATCCCCGTGGTGCCGCATCCCGGCTCCACGAGGGTGTCCATCAAACACTCGGAATTTCACACACTCGGCCCCGCACTGGCAATAGACCATACAAAAAAAAACCGGGAGCCATGGTTCTCTGCGAGAGATCCCAATAATCGCGATCCGCGATTATCCGATAGCTCCGCTATCGCCCGAGCACGGAAGAAGGACTCATTTTTCGCGGTCCACCGGACACCCGAGTCCTTACACGCGGACTCCCCGCGACACACTCTCTGTATCCTACCTACCGCTCTTCGCGGTAGGTCAAGAATCAAAACAAATCTCCTCTCCGGCGCCCTCCCCGCGGACCCGCAAACCGTAGCCGTTCCAAGTTCCCGGGGTACCGGCAGTGCGTCCTGGCGGTTGAGCATCCCTTGCGTGCGGACTCTCAACCCAAAAGGGCCCCGTGCCTCCGCCGCCAGTTCACTACTTTCCCCCGTTCCCTCCTACCGAACCACGGTCCTACGAACTTTTTGGAGATGGAGGCCGGAGGCACTGCCGTGCTGTCGGCAACGCGCGGAGGTGCGGGGCTTTTGTAATGTGTCGTTCTGACGCCACGTTACAATGTATATTAGGATTATTTTTAAACATTTAGCGATTAAGAAGGGACTGGACTCGTAGCACTTTATAAAGGATTCTTGCACTGGATAGGCGTCGTTCAAAGTACAGCAATGAATAAAATTGAATCACTGATTTATTGCTTTCTTTTGTACAAACTATTGCAAAGAATCACTCTGGTTTAAACATGCTCTTTTAATTCAGAATTCACTCTCAAACTTTTACAGGTCCAGAATACCATAAATGAATTCACGACAAAGAGCGTATCTATTAATTTTGTGGTATATTTTTCTATTAGATATTTAGGATCGCTTAGTCATGATATAGTGGGGAAACCACAATGTGCTCAGTAGTTGCAACATTACTGAACAAAAAGAAAATACGTACATCAAGACTGCAGATGATCACAATGATTCCTGCTGATTGATTATTGCTATTTTAGAGAACAGGATAGACGCAGACGGGTTATTAATCTTAATGTCGTTCTATCCTGACTTGTTTTTAGAATCTTTTTGGAAGGAAAGAGGGTCTCAGCTCAAGACAGTTCTATTACAACAACTTTGTTATAAATGAATTTGCAGATGAACAAAATCTTTCGAGATGCTGAGTTCCACCATAATGATTCCTTATAATTGCAGAAGTTTCTAAACTAGCTGTTTTCTTCAGTGTTTGACGTATACACATCCGCTGATCATCTAATAATTGCTAGTACTTACACTGATTCTTGTAGTTCAGGCGTTAGTATATTAACTCTATACAGTCACTCTGCTATCTATTGGACTCCAGGTCACTTCCGTTTCGTTGTAATAGTTTCTCTTTTCCGATCAGAATTACAGTTTCTAATGAGCTCTGAATACGTGTATAAGTTTAAAGTGGTTTGTAATCGAGCGAAAAGAAACTCATGGGATCCATTGGACTTCAGAGGGCACTTTATGTATTTAACAAAATATGTATCCAGTGTTAATTTTGGTAAGAGAGAACATTTAATAACGTTTATTTATTTCAGTTGCTTGATTTTAATTAAATATACGGTTGGCTTGTACTGAACCTGACTCCGATGTACCGTTGTTTATATTTTTTCTATTGGTTTGTCACGTAACAGTCTCTCAAGGCCATTCTACAATGCAACGGAACACGTAACACGGAACATACATTTAAGCGATAAGATCTTCAATTGTATATTTACCTAATTCCATTGGATCCTTCAATGAAGAAGGAGAAAATCGTTTTTAAAACCGACCGTTTACTAAAGCCCGTATTTAGAACTCGCTCTAAGGTCACTAACAGAGTCACTATTAGTTAAAAGTGATTGCGCCGAGTTGTTAGTGACCGTATTTAGAATTCGCTTTTAAGCCGTTTTTAGCTAAGGATACGCTAACAGGGAGCAGCGTGTTGTAATATGTACTTTCCACCGCGTTCGGAATCATTTGGGAAGACTCGGGCATATTCAATTATGTCCGGGAGTATTCGGTGGCATTGTGCAGCCATATTTGAAATTCGAAATTCAAGAATTCCCTTCCTTGAAGTCAAGTTATTAATATTTAATTAATACGTTAAAACTATTATAAGACAGGCATGACATGAAAATGAAAAAAAAAAATAATGGGTTGTAGATCATCATGGAACGAAAGGAGAATTTTATCCTCGAAGAAAAAGCATTAGTCGTACAATTTGTAAGGGACAATCGTGATACAATAGAGAATAAAGCAAATAATGCTTAATTGCAAAAGAGTAGAAGAGACAAATGAATGAAACTAACAGAGAAAATGGCAGCGACTGGAATTAAGAGGGAATGGAAAGATATAAGAGATGTAAGAGATATAAGAGATATAAGATATAAGATATAGCAGCGGTGAAAACTCGCAGCAATGAAGTGTATTTCTTGCTATCGCAAGTGTCCGAGTGGTACAGGTGGAGGTCCTGCCCTCTCAAAACCTTCTGGGCTCGATTTCAAAATCAGTGAAATTTGCTTGGAAAACTTTGTGACGGATGATGATCCCCACAAATCTGATAGCCTCTGAGCATTGAACACCGCCGAAATACCTAAGGATGATGTCACGTATGAAACAGATCATGTCACTCTCGAAAAACTTGCGGATTTCTTACTCTTATTTCATTAACTTCGCAGACTTCATCTAACTCGGCAATAGCATCCATCTGGTCCGCCATATTTGAGCGACCTATCACTTTAAACATGCCCCTGCCCACATCTTCGAATAGCTCGCTGTTAGTCCTACGATGACGCCTAATAGCGCGCTGTTAAATGCTTAAAAGCGGTTCTGAATAAGCTTTTTCGCTAATAGCGCGCTATTAGCTGTTAGTGACCTTAAGAGTGACCATAAAAGCGGTTCTGAATACGGTCACCTTTAAACTCACTAACAAATAATTTAAAAGCGCGCTATTAACACTAAAAGCAAGTTCTGAATACGGGCTTTAGTAAACGCTCGGTTTTAAAAACGATTTTCTCCTTCCTGATTGGAGGATCCAATGGAATTAGGTAAATATACAATTGAAGATCTTATCGCTTATATGTTCCGTGTTACGTGTTCCGTTGCATTGTAGAATGGCCTTTAAGCCCTTTACATACAAAATAACGTAACGACGTAAGACTTAAGCGTAAGGAAACCAGCAATCAGGACCCCCCCCCCCCCCCCCAAGGG